TTCCTTCTTCTTCCTTCCTTACCCCCCCCCCCCCCCCAGCAATTCGTCATCGTCGGTCTTTCAGTTTTCAATTTCTCATTTTTATTGCCGTACTTTAAAGTTGAAATATCGCAATTACTTGTAATTCAGTTAATTTTTCTCTTTATGCTGGCTAAAAATTTAGTAAAGTACATGCTATGGCCATTTTTGAAAATACCTAATTGTGAATTCGAACTCACAAATGTGGCTAGCGTTATAGTGAACTGTATTTTATTAGAACAAAGTGTTGTTTGACAAGTGACTTATTAGGATAATTATTTAAAATTCTAGCAAAATTTTCAAGAGATTTTAGTTATGTTTTCCTCTTTTTCTGCTAACTTTGTATCACTGTTTATTATGTTTTCATTAATTTTGGCATTTCCTAGGAAGAAGAAATTTGTGAATTTTAGGGAAAAGAGATGAGATGGAGGTATTGATTTTCTTTTTTTTTTTCTTTAAGAAAATAGTATATAATAAGTATTTTTAGTAGATAAAATATAAAAAATGACGTGGAATATGATGTGTCATCCACGTCAATCAAGTGAGATACACACACGGTCAGAGGGGTTTAAAATATAGACTTTGAACAAGTTAAGGTGTCTGGATGAAAAAATGTGAAGTAGGAGGACTGGCATGACAAAGTGACACAAGTATAGGTTCCATTTAGGCCATTCTGCCTTCTAAATAATCATCTTAATTGTATTCCTGGTAGTAGTGTCTACAAATTTTATATATAGGAAAATGTTACGAGTTCGACATTTTGTTTTTATTGAAATTATGTGACTTTTCGTCCATTGGTAAGGTTGAAGAGAAAATTCTATAAGGAACTGTTACTGTCGGACAATAGTTGAAGGAATAAGTTGTTGTCTTTCTTGTATAATTTTATGTATTTTTCATTTTATAAGCTAACTTTTGATTGCGTTATGTTAAAAGTCCATATTATATACGATCTGAATGTCAAACATATGAGTGAGGGGTATTAGTATATAGCGTAAAATTGGTTAGCAATATGTGGATGAATTATGAGGTGGTACATGTAACCGTAGACAGGCAGTGTATGAGTCAGCGAATAATTGATATCGGATACAAACCTAAACTTGGTGCTGTGTAAATTTCGAAGGCATGAGAACCGATAACAAAGACTTGAAAGGAAGACATCGGTTGAGAAAGACAACATTCAATGAGCAGCCGTTACAAAGATTTTCTGTATTAATAGCCAACCGTTATGCAGTCATCAGTGACATTTTTATTCTCATTCAATAGGAGCTTGATTTGGCGATCTTGTCTCCCTAAATAGAGCTATAAATAGGAGAATTAGTATCTATTGTAGGACACGAAAAATTATATGTACACAAACGCTATAATTTGCTCTCATATTATAAATTACTCGCTTTCTTTTGTTCTTAATATTGTTCATATAACTGCTTCCGGAGAGGCTCATTATACAATCAAGCTTGTATTTCTTTTAACTTATTTTTAGAATCTTGAGTCTATTCTTATATATTTTATATTTTTTGATCAAGTTAATTCACGTGTCTATAAATTACGTTACAAATTCAATTATACTGTTTTATGGGTAAAAATTAGCGTCTCACATTAATCGAGGGAATATGCTATTGTATCCTTATATGGTTTTGCTACTTATAGACAATATTCATTTTTTTTAACGGAAATTTCTAAAATTTTAGATAACAGCTTTAGAAATGTCAATTTGAGTACCCTTATGAATTACTAAGGAACTTGGTTCTTTACTGTACTCCTTAAACGTGAAGTAA